ATACTAACAAAAGTACTGTACAAACAAAACAATAAACTTAGTGGTCACAGCAATATATTTTTGATAAATTCTAAATTGGTTTTCTGTGTAGTGAGTAACATACAATATCCTTCTTGAAATGCTCTATCTTCTAAGTAAATGTGTTAAATACCAATTCAAAAGATACACAGCTAAAACTGATCGTTTGTTTGTAGTTAAGCCCAAAGCTACACAAAGGGCTATATGTGCTCTGCCCACCACGGGTATTGAAACCCGGATTCTAGCATTGTAAGTCCACAGATACACTGCTGTGCCACTTGGAGGGGGGGGAGGTTAAGATTGATCACAAAATTTTATTCCCTACATACAATTCCCCCCCTCTTAATCACTTGAACCAATTTCTTGGAAAACAACTATTCAATTTTTCTCGAACAACGTGCACACGTTTCATGAAACATCATAAATGGGATTCATTGGTAATGTTCCATCACCAAAAACAAGTAAAATTATATACAAAATAAACATTTTATTCAGTAACAATTAATTCACATTTGTCAGCTTAACCTCTATATTTGAAGAAAAAAAAAACCTTTGAAATTATCATTCTATACTAATTTGCATACATAAATAATAAGTGTCAGAGAATTAGATTGAAAAGATATTCATTTTGACAAACTGCCTTGTAAAGAAAAAAACAAGATATAAAAAAGTAAAACTTTCCAGCATTACCTCAGAATAATCAGACATTGTGGTTTGATCTATTTTATGTTTTGATATAAAGTCATGTAGATACACTTGCATCAGTAGAAAGTAACCAATTACCAACTTGCATGTCAACCATACGTATGAAACTGACAAAGTTTTTCATATTTTTTTGAGAATAAAATTTGCAAGAAATTGTACGTATCTATATCCACAGGCATTTGAAAAAAAAAAAAGTCTCTTACACACATGCACGCACCCATCCTGATTAAGTGGTCAATTTAACTAACACTGACCAATGACTGGTTTGCAGTAAAACCTCCAAAGCAAAAAACATTTATCTTTGAGTTCATTTACACTCATGGAGTGGCCCATTTTTGTGATTAAAAGTTGTACACTGTGAAAAAGCTTACACAATTACCTGTGAGAGGATTTCCCTCTCCACAAAAGAGGGAAATATTTAGGTTTATATGCAGATATTAATGAATGTGTAGTGGAAACATTAGTAACTTCTTTCACAGAGTGAAACTTCAGTTTTTATAAATTGAAATCTTTTACGAGTAAAGTCAGAAACTGCACATAGCTCAACAGCCATTACTGGAAGTTTCTAATCTTGGTGGAACACAAAAAAATAGTAAATGATACAAACGAAACTTTGTCTACTCATCAACACATAAGTGGAATATCCCCATCACAGGTTTGTTCCCAAGATTAACATGTCTATTTCTGTTATGGTTTATACTGTGATTAGATTTTATCTGAAAGATCTCTGTAAACAATTACCAATATCAGTTATTGTCTATGCAAAAACAATAACAAAAACAACATAGGTCAATAGATGTAATTATTACTTTTTTTGGGGTCCAACAAAACTAAAGCTCTTTCAGTCCCTCAGCAAGCATGACTTTAAACTTCAATTTACACAAATCCTCCTTAAATCAAGCTAAATCACAAAAGGTACTTTTGTAAAGAACACTTAAAACACAAAAATATTAAGTAGACTCGTAAATTTAAATGCACGATAACAGTTATATTAATTTGCAACAAACTTAAGAACCACAAGACAACTGGAAGGAGTGTTCTAATTACATGTGGAACAGAACAGGTTCATGTCAATTATAACACAAAAGACTGATGGATAAATCTCAAGTTTCCAATACTATCAGGGTTAAAATATTTAGACACTATTCAAAAAAGATGTTTTACGAGTTTAACTGGGTGTTAAGGATGACTGCAACTTTTGTAGCACTAGCTTGCTGAACAAAAGTTTCATGTGTTCCTTCTACAGTGTACACATCAACTTCACCTTCACAGACCTGCCAGAAAAAAAAAGTAGAAACATATCAATAAATCATAAGACCATTATTAAATGTAATAATTATTCTAGAATTTTGCCAGTTCCTCTGGTAGTAGTTATTACATACTAGTACCATTATCAAGAAACTTATAAACACAAACATTACTTGTTTTATAGAAGGTGAACACTAATCTTTACCATCCTAAATATAATGTGTTCACATGTGGTTGAAAATTCCAAACCTATCAAGAAAATCATTAAAAGAAACTAAGAAACATTAAACCTGAGAGCTCATTTAAAATTTTTCACCTTGACCCATGCCATATTAAATTCCACAATTACACGATACTAACACTATTTAAAAAATACAAGTTTTTCCCCAATACCTGAAGCTTTTTTAAAATCTAAAATTGTAAACATTTGTAATGTAGTTGAAAGTCCCAGAATGTATTTATTTTTACCCTTATGTTATGATAGATGAAAACCAGTTTTTCAAGACTGTTCTATTAGCTGTGATTTTGCTATAAATATTGAACTAAAAGTTACATAATACTCTTATCAAACAAACAAGCCAAATAAAAATCATGAACATGAGCATAGATTCATATTATAGAAAAATTTATAAAACATTTCATCACTAAAATATTTGCTTTTTTCATGTAATAATACTTAATGATGCACCATATTTCATTTGAACCATGTCTCATTTACCTTTTATACATTCAACTGTAACCACCAAGAGATTAAGTAACACACACTCACAATCTGTTAAACTCTTTTTGTAACTTACGAAATGCAAGGTCTTGTAACCCATACATAACTCACTTAGATCACAACTATGAGTTTTTTTTTTTAGTATCTGTTAGAGAAATAAGAAATAAACAGGCATGAAGCTCTTCTATAATTCTGTAAAACAGTTAGATTTTGGACGTACCTCACTCAGACCGTAATCATGAAGAAGCTGTGCTGCACCCTGTAATGCCTCGGCAGCCTTGATCAGAGTTACTTTACCAATGTATCTATCAGATGGTTTGTACTGGTCAGCTATTTCTAGTCTGCGGTAGAAGGATTCAACAGCTTGCTGGACTTCTTGAGGATCTATTGGAGCGTGGAGTGTTGATGCAAGCAACTCCGTTGCCAACTGGAGTTTAGATTCCCATGATAATCTTTGGAGCATTTCAGCCTTGGTCTGAATTATCAACACAATAACTTTTTTTCTTTCCACCCTCATAAAGTTTTTAACTGAAGCATAACTAAAGCAAGTGTATTGTTATCCAGTGCAAAAATATTTAACCAATGTCACTTTGCTTTTGTATATTAGCTACAAACAATACTTAATGTGGCAGATCACCCACTCTTTATGGTATAGCTTTCTTGTAAGGTACGTGTACTTTATTTAAATATAATTCTATACTAATAGGTAAAAGTTATAAAAAGGTAAATCTAACAATACCAAAAAATAGTTTATTACAAAGTTGCTGTCTAAGTTACTTAATGCTAGAAACACTAGTTTGTATAATAGTCTGGAGAAGTATACTTGTCCTTAAACATATAGAGAATGATTACACCTATGACACTTTTTTTTAAATCTTCGAAAGTCTAATTGAAAGAAATACTAATCATTGTATAGTTTGCAACAAAACCATATTTTAAACATTATGTAACAGAATTTCAACTATGCTTTTTTGATTTTTTAGATTCTTGCTGCAAAGTGTTTGCATAATACTCGAGTTTAGAGAAAATGGGTTACAAAACAAGTGTTAGTTTAAATGCTATTTATCATTTATGACAAAATCCTCGGAAGCGGAAAACCTTGGTTGCTAGAGCGTAACACCTAATGTGTGCGAGATTATTACACCACAACTGACTCACTGATAACACTTGATCACAGCAAGACACCTACACATAGGTAAGAACTACAAATTCACTCGGTGAATAATTAGCTAACTTAGTAAACCAGTCTAAGGTATGCAAGGGCAAAAAATATTTTATATAAGGATTAGAACGCACTTATTATTACTGATGATTAATTTAATAATAAAGCTAGCTCTTACTTTTCTCAGATGATTGATGTACACTAGTACTGATAAGTTTTAAGTTAAAAAAAACAATTGTAGCATTCGGAGGAGATTAGCAGAATCATAAAGCTAATGAAAAGACGTTTATCTAAAACCACAACCATATTTGTGTGTTAAGGTGTATAATTCCTTAGCTGATGGAGCAACATATATTCCATTGCTTCCATATTGTTAGTTTCATTATGAATAATTGTTAAAATGCCCCTCCCCCATTGTTAGCACTTAAAATGACAAACTTCATGAGATATTATTGTGATTTTGGTAGATAATATTGATAACAATAAAGGTAACATCCAACTGACAAGTCTTCAGGACTAACCTTTATGTAATCTATCGGTATGATATTCATCAAATAAGCACAAACAGCACTGGCATCTTGAAAGTGCTGGTCACTTTGGTCTGTAACCCTGGCTTTATAATGCTGCAGATGGGCTCCAACAAAGGTTGGAGACCCGTCCAGCAAAGTGAGGGATTTAACAACTGAAGGTCCATTCTGATTCTGGAGCTGAAGAGCAATTTCAAAAGCCACAGCTGCGCCAAAGGAATACCCTGCTATACTGTACGGACCTGACTGTTGTATTGCTTGGATTTGCTAGGGGAAGAAAATAAAGTATGATGCAGTGAAATACAAGTCAATATGCAGGTTGAGAAAATACGAGTTCCGTGCATCTTGAGAGAACGTGATGCAATGAAATACAACTAAAAACCTAAATACTGGATTGTTTCTGTGATGAAGTCACAACACCAAGACTCATCTAGCAAAGACCAAACTAACATATGACCTTTAAGAAAATTTAGTTCTTAAACACAGAAGCATCTACCATTATCTAATAAAATATTATAACTTTTATCAAATAATACATGTTTGTTATTAGCTGATGAAAAACATCATTTATGCTATTAATCAACATAATAAGACAACAATACTTAATGCCATTTTAGTTAATTTTCAGCAATGAATGGAAAATTGGCCCCATGTTAGTTTAAAAAAATAGTAAGCATGCTGTAAGTCTATTTTCAATGTGTATAAAAAAATGTGACTTCTAGTAACCAGAATATAAAATTTCTACACTTCAAAGAAAAGATACCTTTAAATAATACGATGCCATTTCCTTAATGCTGGAAATTGGAACGTCATTTGTACACTGCAGCCCAATTACTGGTCGCTGTAAGAGACTTGCAACATTGTTCATGGAAGAAACAAATCCTTCGATAGTGTGTACCACAAACAGAGGAGCTCCATTTTGTATAGCATTCAAATAGACTGTACAATTTTTTGGCATGAGTTGAGTTGGTGGCAAAACAACCTTTGTGTCTTCTTTCTCAACCTGTGACCCTGGAAGTGAAACTTCCCCACCAATTTCTTCAAGTGTCTTCAGGTTAAGCTGACGGATTTCCTGCATGGACATCACAAGATCATAGTCCCGTTCAAGAGTCTGCTTAACCTCAACTCCCATCAGAGAGTCCATGCCTAGCTCTCCAAGAGTTACTTCTGGGTTTAAAGTAGAGGGGTCTTTAACTCCTACAAACAAATTTAAAAGTATTGTATCATTAATATACTACTAACATAATTGCAATCAAATTGTTAAATGCTGTAAACAATATAGATAGCATTCTGTTGCCTTATACTAATTTATACTGATTTCAGGCTAAATACTGTAGGCACAGAAAAGTATAGAAAAAAAAAAAAACATCTTATAGTGAAATAATTTGGCAGAATTATTGCAACATGATAGCTAGTATTTTACACAGACACTTCATTCTTGTCTTGCCTAATGGAATTTTGTTCTGTATAATTGATGAGACTTACCAAGAATACGAGCAACGGTTTCTATCAAATTGTGTTTCCCAGCGCCATCTCCAGCAGAAACACCTCCCTGCTCAGCCCTAACAATGCTGGAGACTACAGGACAGCTTTGCTGAAGAAACTGATCCAGTATAGCAAGACAAGAGACAATCCTCTGTGGAATAGTTCCGCCAATTACAGTATCATTACCCCCCATTGTCTCTTGAACCAGTCCAACATCTCCAATAGCTCCCCACTGTACAGCCAATGCTGGGGGAAAAAAAATTAATACAGAAACTATATTTACAAGTTTTGGATTTCCATTTCCTATGGTATAAAAAAAGAGCAGTTTTCTTTAACAATAATGCATATTTAGCTTAGTGTTTAAGTTCATTTAGGAATTAAATTCTTTGTCTTATGATGCATTTTCAAATACTTTTAAGAAAATGTCATTAAACTCGTACATTCACCATTACAATAGACAACAAGAAAAAACATTAAACCTGGATATCCATCTTTTTTTCTTTCTTCACATATTCTCTCCATTACAGAATTGGCAAATCCATAATTGCTTTGACCAGCATTGCCTCGACCACAACTTACGGAAGAAAATACCACGAACCAGTCAAGTTCTGGACACATTTCACGAGAAAGCTGATCCAAGTTGCTTGTACCATCTGCTTTTGGCTCACAGACTACCTTGAAGTCTTGAGCCGATTGATTCTCCATAAAAGCATCTCGTAAAACCTTCATTCACATAAGCAAGTACAATACTGTTAAGCATCATTATCTACAGAAAAATATCACTTACATACTAAATATAAGCAGGTTTTAGAGGATGAAATATTTGTTAACTTTTAAAAGTTAGTACAATACTGTTAAGCATCATTATCTACAGAAACATATCACTTACATACTAAATATAAGCAGGTTTTGGAGGATGAAATATTTGTTAACTTTTAAAAGTTAGTACAATACTATTAAGCATCATTATCTACAGAAAAATATCACTTACATACTAAATATAAGCAGGTTTTGGAGGATGAAATATTTGTTAACTTTTAAAAGTTAGTACAATACTGTTAAGCATCATTATCTACAGAAAAATATCACTTACATACTAAATATAAGCAGGTTTTGGAGGATGAAATATTTGTTAACTTTTAAAAGTTAATATTTGTTCTATAAAAACGAGATTAAAAAAAACTAGAAAAGGTTTTACAGATTGTATTCCAGTTTTACCAGATGTTAAGGTAATTGGTCCCATTCAGATTTTACCAATAGCGATGAGCTTTCACACTCAACTTACATTTGTATACTAAAGTTTAGGAGATATAAAACCACTATAATCACTACTAATATCCAGCAATAGCTCATAGAATCTATTACACAAACAGTGTCACTTTGACCTTTTTAAGTTTTACAGATGTTAACATTCAATTCTGTGTGGCCATTTTCTTTTTTCTTAAATTTTTTATAACTATTTCAAGAATGTTAATCAGGAAAGTTATCTGATCTCTACGTCACTGATATCTGTATTATTATTATTATTATTATTATAATAGATAAACAAATAAAAACTCATCCTAGAAAAAACTTTTAGAAATAAGTAATCCAAAAACAGCAATCAATACAAAACTTGCAAGTAATGACAAAAAATAGTCCACCAGATAATAAAAATAATTTTTAATTAAAAACTACTTTCCATGTTCAGATATAAAAACATAAATAGTGACCAAAGCCACTGTTCATCTGGTGTGTATGTTTTTTTTTTAGCAGATTGATAAACATTGTAACTAAGTATATAAAAAATGGTTGCAAAAACTAACAACTTACAGCAGCAACATTGAAGATCCCTCCAACTGATCCAAGTTTCATGGAATCTTTCAGCAGCTGATAGGCATTTTCTAAAGAGACAACATTCTGTTTTGAGACAAAAACATGAACTCCAGCATTGTTCCATCTCTGTAAACACAGATATTGGTAGCCAGTACGAACTCCTGACCTTGATGTAACTACAACTTTTCTTGCCCCTCTATCAATTAGCCACTGGATAAGTTCTAAACCAAATCCTCCAAGCCCTCCAATTACAATGTAAGATTTTTTTGGGTGGCATATTGTGCGAGGAATGACTGGAATATGTGCTGGTACTGGTGTCACCATTTTCTGATCTTCTTCATCTTTGATCTAGGTATATATATAAAAACTCTCAGGCTATACCTTACGTAAGATCTAAGCTAAACCAAAGTTCTATTAAAAAAATAAATGTTCCTGTTGAGTTGAAGGTTTTTTGAGGTATCAAAAACCATGGACATAAATACTGAATAATTACCAATATAATTTAACATTTCAGATGGTCGAGACAGTCCCATTTTTCAATATCTATGTTTGAATTTAGACTTCTGGGCATTCATTCATCATGAAACTGACTTAAAAATTAATAAATTATTTATCTTCCTTAAAATTCTCAATGTAAAAGAAAAATTTTAGGCTTCTATAAGATTCTGAAAACTTATCATAAATGCACGTTTCTACAGTAGTTTTTCTTAACGAGGTTTTTAACACCTAAACTAGATATTATAAAATTCGTAACTGTACAAAATTCGTTATAATTTACATAAATAATGTAATTTTCTCTCTCTCTCCAAGAATCTCAAAAGCTATAGTAGTATTTATAGAAATATGTATTCACACAGCAAAATTTATAGAATTATTACATACTAATAGGTGTTAGAAGACTTATTAGGTTCCTTAACAAAAATTCAATCTCATACTAAGTAACCAAATACTCTAATATATCTGTAGTTCAAAAATAAATACTTGTTTCTTAAAACACAATGGCTTATCCATCACCTTAACAATGTGACTTAACAGCAGTAAATTCTATATTTTATTACCTTAATGACCACTTTTCCAATATGCTTGCCACTTGCCATATATCTGAATGCTTCTTCTACTTGCTCCTTTTCAAACAATGCCCTCTGCAAGGGTTTCACTGCTCCGCTTACGATGCCTTTTGCAACAAGCTGAACAATCTGTTTTTTAGACGACTGCATTGTTTTGTCATCTCCAAAGAGTGCATCCAACAAAATGCCATGGAAAGAGATGTTACGAAGAAAAGCAGACATTCCTATTCAGTAAAAGAAAAGCACCATTATCGTCAATTACCCAAAACATTCAGTAGTCGACTAGGTAGGAACCATAATATAAGAATTTAACCAGTAAGAAAATTATGTTATTGTTTTGGAACATGAGAATTTCAGCATTTCTAAAATGTTTGTTTGAAGTTATGCACAAAGCTACACAATGGGCTATCTACATATTTAAAAAAATAATAATAATATTTTTACCCAGTGGTGAATTCTTTGACAGATCGAATTTTCCAATCTCTAGAAAACGTCCATGTTGTGCCAAACATCGAACACTAGCTTGTAATTTTTCTTCAGCCAATGAGTTAAGGATTAGGTTCACTCCTAAATGGTAAAGTTATTCTATTTATACACTTACACACAGTCTTCAATAAATCCGCAGAGACAAAATAGTTTTTTTATTTAAAAATTATGATGTAAATTTCTAAAAACCTCTGGAAAAACACACTAAATTCAAACACACTTTTAATTTAAAAAACAAATTGTCATAAATCATTATTTACAACCAATGCATAATTTCTAACAGTGTTACTTTATATAAACTAATAAAAAATTATTTTTGAAGGGGTAATCATAGTATGTAATACTACTTCAAATAATAATCTGTCCTTAAAGCAAGCCAGTATTCTTTACACTATAAAAAAACTAGTCTATATTCCATTCTTAATTTGTTTTGTAACAGTGTTTTAAAGTTATATTGATCTATCTGTGCTTTTTGTACATATTCATTTTAATAAAGACTTAATGAAAGGATCCCTAAGATGTTTAACATTATTACAAAATGAGAGTATACATCATTTGTACCACGCTAATGTATTTTCTGTACGTCAATAAATTGACAGATATTTGTTTAAGTTCAACTGGTGATTAATTAATAATTAAGGAATAGAAAAAACAGTTCACCTTTTCCATTGGTTGCTTTCATAATGTCATACTCAAATGAAAGATCTCTCGAGTTACTGAAATTCTTGTCTGTTAACTGTGGAAATCGCCTTTTTAGGTACTCCCTCTTCTCTTTAGATCCTGTGAAACATACTTGCTGATGAAATCTTTCAAAAGTTGTAAGCTACATTTAAGCATATGCATACAGTTCAAAAATATGATACTCTACAACCCAAGTGCTTTTGAAAGGCAGACCTTTCCTTTTCAGGTTCAAACTGGAACATTCCCAGTTTGCCCCTGAAGAAGACAGGTACACCTTTCAAAGCACTCAGGCTGTAGGGTATATTGTTTTTCTTTTAAACTGATTTCTTAAACCTACGTGTTTTTTTGAATATCATGAATATATACACACACACAGTAAAAATCTTTCATCGGTAGGAAACGAATCATTATGTGATCTAACTTGATCAAATTCTCTTTACTTCTAAGATCAACAAGCAATGAATTCTACATTTTCACTTCAAGAAATCAAATAGATCTCTATAGGCACTTTATTTTTTCTATTTTATTATAGACAGTTATGCAACAAAATCAAGAATGCAGGGGCTGCATTTAGAATTCTACATTACACACAGAGGAAATTAATAGAATGCACAAAAATAACAGCATTATGTTTCCAAAACACAGATATAACAAGACCTACTGGTTCAAGTTACCAAGTTTTTTTTTGTTATGTCATGCAACATGAAAAATGTCCACTGCTCCAACCATCCTCTTAACTCTTTCAGCACAGGCTCGGTCCCTGGGACCGACCTCGTATCCATTTTGTGCTTGTTATAGTTTTCATGCTATAACTTTTAAATTAGTAAGCACAGGTTCATGAAATTTGGCAAATTATGAATAAACATTACAAGACTTTCATACACAAAATATAAATTTTTTATTATTAAGTTTTAAGGTTTGTTAAGCAATGTTTTGATAAATATCTTATTTTTGGATAACTCTTACAATAAATTTATTAAATAAAATAGTTTTTCTTTTAATTTTAACAAAATTCTCATCCGGTCAGCCATTGCTGTACAAAGTGACTTACCTACAGTAGTGAATACTTCACATTCCATATGTAAAGCAATGGAGATAGCTGCCTGACCAACACCACCACTTCCAGAATGCACAAGTACAGATTCACCTTCCTGAAGTCCTCCTCTCACAACAAGGGCATAATAAGCAGTTGAGTAAGCTACTGGAACAGTACTAGCTTCCTCAAGAGTCCAACTATCGGGAACCATCCACAAAAAGTCTGGATCCACAAGTACAGTCGTGGCTAAGCCTTTTGCAGGAACAAGGCCCATTACCCGTTGTCCTTTCTCATTTCTTCCAGCAAATTCAAGACCTAGAATACAATCTTCCATGGCCAAGTTTCCTGTCAGAAGAAAAAAAATGTAAGTTCTCATAATAGTTCCGCAATAAACTACAAAACTTAAAACATTACCAAAAAGTATGAATAAAAAATAAGCCCAAGATACTTCAAAATATATTATCATTAACTAGTTTAAACTTTTCACTTTGTCATGTTTAGTTGTAATACATATAAAGGAATGGTTTAACTACATGTAAAAAGCACAGAGTTTAAGAATAAATAACAGATCAGTTGACTAGAAATATAATTGCCACCCACTAACTCAATAGTAAGTCAGTTGACTTATAACACTTAAAATAGAGTTTCAATACCTGTGATGGGTAGATCGTAGATTGCCCATTATAGCTTTACAACAAACAAGCAATGTATTTAAAATACTTCTCAAAAACAAAACATTATATTCAGAGCTTTTATGAATCAAAACATATATTTTTAGTTACGATTCTTTCATGATATAACTTAAATAAACTAGAAGTCTCTTTCATCTCCGTTTCATTCCTATTCCAAGTATTAGAGCCTCTTCTAATTATAGGTTTCATTCAAATAATTTTAATAAACTTTATCACAAGTGTTAGCTGATATAAACAAATAACTTGTCAAGCATCAGTAAGATTAAACCATACCTGGCAAAGCATCAGGAGGTAGTTTTCCAGTAGCCAGCATAATATCTCGAAAATTAAGTGGAGCATAATATACATAACAGAGTGTACTTTGTCTTTCGTTGCTTAGATCATGGGAATATTTTAGTGGAGATTCAAACCACCGTAGACTTGAGAGGTCTCCTCTAGTCATAACATTCAGTAAAGCATGTTCAGTTTTAACGATCTCTGCAACATCTGTGCAAGTTTGAAAAAAAAAAAAAAGTTTGGAAATTTTTAAATGAAAATTGTACAGATCAGTTATTTCAACATCCTTTACCACCAAAAAATAAAATAAAATAAAATAACTTAGCAACTAAAATGCTGTCAGTATGTCAAAAATGCAAAGTAAAACTACAGTAGTATAGTACATAATGAATACAAGATTTCACTTGTTAATTTAAGCATCAGGCATAAAACTAGCAGAAGTGAACCAAAAACTCATTAGGATCACAACTTTAGATAGAAAAATTCCTTCAACTACAATTTTTTTATGAAAGAGCTAATCTAGAGCTTATAGTTACATCAATCTGGTCGTAAACATTATCATTAAAAAATATATATTATTGGACGGTAAAATTCATTAACTTGAAATCATATTTTCAGAATTTTCATCCCAAAATCAATTAAAGATTCTTTTGCAATTACAAGGTTTTAGAAATAACATGAACGTGATACTAAGAATATCTTTAAAACATTTTAAATTAAGATTATGAGTCACTATTTTACAAATGGCAAGTATAACAACTTATAAATATGCCTTCAAAAGTTTATTACAGCTTTCATAAACTATCACTAAATGTGCATTTTAATACCACGTATGGTAAATATAGGTTTTCAGAGTTGAGAAATCTCTTAGCTGAGCAGAAGCAGACCTAATATACGAGGTCACCTACCTCCTGTAAAAGATGTGTGTCTAAAAGAACCCCACTGTCTGTTTTTATAGACATTCATTACAAGATCTTTCTTTAAAACATCACTGAATCTTGGATCATTGAGAGTGAAAGATGAAAGACTGGGTTTTATTTGGTCAGTAATCAGGATGCATCTGCAAATACAGTAATAAATACCTAATAAAAAGGAACTGGTTAAAATTTAAAGTCACACAATGCTTACCTAAACCTATAAAAGTAAAATGTTTGTTTGTTTGTTTGCCCACAAGCTACACTGCAACCTTTGGACCAATCTCACACAAACTTTGTAGGATGATACATTGAATCAAGTGGCATGTAACAGGGTAGCTATTAACTCAGCCCGACCTATCCTGGGCTATGCTCACAGCAAAGATATGTTTGTTTAGCTAATGACTCCACAATTTGGGACCAATTTTTATTCTTAAACTTTATTTTGAGTTTTTTTATTGGAAAACGTCAAACATTTACATTTTTGCCAGTAAAAATGACAACTAAAGCACAAGATCAGACCCTTAAATCAACCCGGGCTACATCTGAAAATTCCTTGCTCATCACATGGTCAATTCTGTGTTAGATGTTCAAGAGTAGGATCACCAAGAAATCTATTTTGGCCTAGGAAGGAGGAAGAACTTCTAATGTGATCTATGAAGATGCACCCAAAATATCAACAAACACTGAGGCTGTAGAGAGGGATTAGTAAAAGTAATAAAGTAAAGCAAAGCCAATTATGTGTGAAATAAACTATGCACATAAATAAAAATTATTGATGTAATGTATTAGTTCCATCCCTACATTTAATCCTTATAACCTCTAGATGTAGGACAGGTGCCTAAGCTTGTATAACATAGACATTAGATAGCATTGGAAATAAAAAAAAATATATATATGTAAAATTAGTAGGCCATACCTTCAGGAGTAATGAATATCCCCACCCCTTATGGTTATATAATAATAACTATCTTGATCCACTCACATTACCCCCTTATGGTTATATAGTAATGACTTATCTTGATCCACTCACATTACCCCCTTATGGTTATATAGTAATGACTTATCTTGATCCACTCACATTACCCCCTTATGGTTATATAATAATGACGTATCTTGATCCATTCACTTTATCCCCTTATGGTTATATAATAATGACGTATCTTGATCCATTCACATTACCCCCTTATGGTTATGTAATAATGACTTATCTTGATCCATTCACATTACCCCCTTATGGTTATGTAATAATGACTTATCTTGATCCATTCACATTAGCACTGTATTTCTTACACATGGCAAAAGTATATTTATATTATCCAAGGTTTCTATAAATATAAGTGAATTTTTAATTTCAATTTGAATTTTTCAAGTGAGTAAAAATTTTTCTATAAAGTCATAAAATTATCAAACATATCTGCTTAGTTGAAGTTTCTCCAAGCCTTCCTAGTCAAAATAAATAAAACAGGATAAAGTGGTATTAGGATTAACCAAGAATCCTCTAAGCTCACTAAATTTTGAAATATTGGGATTACGGCCATCAATTTTGTTAACAGTGAGGGTATCCAACTGATAAAACAATGCAGTTCTAACAATATAGTAAAAGCAATACACTAAATAGTGGATTCCTTTTTTTTCTCTCTTTTATTTCTCATCTATACAGTCAATTTATTTTGATCAGAAGTTCATATTAATTACTAGTAATCTATCTATGTGGAAAAAAAACAAAACATACTGTTACTACAGCAGAATTCACGTGACGCTGGTAACACGTAATGAGTATCTAGAACGTTCGTGAAGGCTTGAGCATTTATTAGACGCCCTCTATTTTGTACATATAAGACCGGCGAGAAGTGATGGCATAGATAGATAATTGCGGACAGGCAGAGACGGACAATTGAGTCAAGCGCGGTAGTATGTAAAGTGCGTGAATCGTTTGTTGTAAATTATAGTGTGTGTTTAAGTTAAAGTGACTGTGGAAATTAAGTGTATTGCAAAATTGAATTGAGAAAGAATAAACTAGATTTATTTAAGAAAAGACTTGTATTGTTGAAGTTTCTCTGAAAGAATTTCTACGAAAAAATTAACAAACGAACACAGAGACGTAACAATACTAATAAACAACTACATACATTACTCACATATTCTTAAATTTTCATTTTTAATACAATTTACACTGTTTACTTAACAGCTTTGCAACTCAATTAATACAATGAGCAAGTTTGCATTTACTTTAAGAATTCAAAGCTGGCTACACTTTCTGTACTTAAAATTTAAAAACATTTACTTTTAAATATGTCATATCTTCTTAAACCTACCGTAACTTATTTCCACCTGGTTCCTGACGTAAGCAGTTTGTCATGCCCACAATTCCACAGGTAGCATCATCAGAAACCAGCCAAATGTTGTGACAACTAGGCTTTTGTTGATTTTCTAGGAGTTGGTTCTTTAATTTTTCAACCCAAGACTCATAATCTCCAGTTTTTACCTGGATGACAGTTTGGTCTGATGGTACAGCATCTGAAGGTCTCCTCAATAAGTAAACAGAAAAAGTCAATCCAGCAGACTTGTGAGAGATTAGTGTTAATCCCTGAGCTCTGAAAATCTCCTCCAGAACAGATTCCTTTTTCATACTGATTGGAACACCACAAACGAAGTGAAGAAACCTTTCTGCTGGAGTCATGTCAGTTCTTTCTATCACCAGCATAAATCCACTTTCTTTAAGAAGTGAAGAGAATGTAGCTACTTGGTTTTGTAAGTCATCCTTACTGCTCAAAATATCCCAGGCCACAAGAAGGTCACAGTCATTAAGAATGGCTGGGGCAGAAGAAGTTAGATCCCACTGGATTGACTTTACTCCAGCAGATGCAGCCTCGTTACTAACTGCTTCAACATTAGGGTGAGCAACAATATAGTCGGATTTTAAAAGAAAGTTAGATGTGTGTAATAGTTCATGAATTCTACCACAGATAGATTTCAATCCACTCCCAACTTCCACTATTTTTAACTTTCTGCTAGTTGTGTTTTCTAGAACAGTATCTAGTGGTACTCTCAAATTCTCTTCCTTAAGTACTGATGTTGTTAAAAGATCCTTCTGAAGTTCTTCCTGACATCTGTTGACAAGATTCTTGGCATTTTGAAGAAAATTAGTATCGTGCGGCAGGTGCCACATTTCTGTCAACACTTTAAGAAGTGCGTGGTTGTTCGAAGCAGTCTGTATGTAATTGTCCAAGATTCCATCCGTTGGTTCAGTAAATCCATTTAATACATCGGTAATTTGAGCTTTGTTTTTACCACTGGCCTCCAAGATTCTACGAGCCACCGCCGAGCAAACTTGGCTGTACTCTTCCAAGTCTACATTGCTATTATTAACACCAGTATCAAAGTAAGGGATGAAGGTGTACTTTTCCAGTAGAGGAACATTCTGCTGTGTCTGACGACGAGGAGCAAGACTAGCCTTAATTCCTTTCATTTCTACTCCACCAGATATACAGATATTGACATACTTATCTCGCACCACCGTTAATGCTTTAAAATGCAGAAAGAACATTTGAAATTCAGTCATTTATTTTCTCACACCAATCTCAAATCTAGAATAATTTTAATATTTTTCATAAAACAAATACAATTCACTTTGATATGTCAAATTCAGATCAGTAGAAAATTTAGAAACATCTTAAGTCAATACATTAATCTCCAAGTCTGATAAAAAGATATGCACATCTGCAAACACTACAAGTTTAATTATAACTTTACAAACACAGCATAATTCATAATTGAAATGAAATGGATAGGGTTTATGCTATAGACAGTAAATCAGTCAATAATATGAAAATGGACAGTTTCAATGTAAAACCTAACATACCAATGCATTAAAATAAACATGGTTGTGTTTTGTTTGACTCTGGGGAGAGGTACCTCCAATTTCTAGGCCCCTTTTGGAGAATGGCCACAGCACTAGTTTATTTCCCATGCGATACTACAGTATCGGTGCAAACAGTTTTAAGTATTTAATTGTATATGTAAGGAAGTTCATTGAAATATGCATGTCTAATTTGTTTTAACTATTTTCACCACAACATGTTTTTTAAGTATGAAATGGATGGTTGTGAAAAACAACAACCATTTTCACATGTGTTTATGCATGGATATTCATAGGTACCCTAACTAAAAAAAAGATGTGATCGCATCGAAACTTATGAAAATTGTAATAACTGTCAGTTTTTGCCTTATCTTAACAAAAGTGGTGCCAAAATGAAGCTTGTATAATAGCTTTAAATACTGTATGACAATTTATATCATTGGTATGATTAATCTGGCATCGTGATGAAATATGCCATTTCTGAACATGATTATTTTAAAAATTTATACCCTAACACTATTTATAATATTTCATCGTTTCAGGTTCTCTTTGGTAGAAGCCACAACTGCAAAAATTACGTTATGAATAAATAGCTTGGCCACACACATCTAAAATCAAAATTGTCCAATAACCTAGGATTACTGTCAGGCAATGAAGCTCAGACAGCACTTACTCAAAATGTTGCAAAATAAATTATTTTAATACAGATTTGTGACAAGACTATTTATTCACATAACTTTCATTTTTTAATATCTTGCAAAATGTTAATGTAGCAATAACATTTTACATCTAATTATTAAGATGTATCTTACTACATGCAAATGTTGCACAATCCTTGACTGTAGTTACATCTACTCATACACTGTTGTTCAAGGTAAGAACTTACGACACATTCAAAAACACAAGAGTATACAAAATTAAAGATTAAAATATTAGCATTACTTAAATGTATACACAAACCTCCTTCTGATTTATCAGCCATGTCTTTGTGAACTTTGGGGTTGATTGCAACAGATTGGAGTCGGGTAGGAAGGAATAATCCCCTATTACGACCTCCAAGAATTGAAAACTGAAGCATTGTATCAAGGAAAACCACCCAGTTATCAGCCCACTTTAATTTTCCCTGTGATCCTAGAGGACAAAGACAGTGATCAAACATTAAATCTCACAAAATATAATTTTATAAAAATAAACCAATAATGTTAATCGTAAATAATTTGTTACATTTTTCTTCTCATTCATAGATAAAATAATAATGTAGAAATAACAGTCTGCTTCATACTAAATAATACACTATTACATACAATACACATGTATGCAGCTCAACACAAGAGAGAGAGAGAGAGAGGATGCATACACGTGTGCTGTTCTTAAGTCCTCAAACCTGAGCGGATGCTACAGGCATCCGACCAAAAGTCTCAATTTACCCATTCGACGGCGTCAGATAACATTTATGTCTCTTTGGCTGAAAACTAATCTAAACCATGTTGTTATCCACCTTTTATAAATAGGCTGGAAAGTTTATAAATTATGATGATAATTATCAGGACATCATGAAAATAATTATGGCAGAATGCAAACAAATAATTGGTTTAAAAGAATTAACAGAAAATACTCTTTACATTAATATATAGCGTTTAGTGCAAACATTTTTTTCTTCTCAAGTACATTTGAAACACAACATACCAAAATATATTCTGAATCAAACCCTGAAAGGGTTTTAGGAAAATAAGTTTCACAATTGGATCATATATTTTAGCGTAAAAACAATATGTTTAAAGAGTTGTACGTGCGTGTATATGTATGTATTACTTATAACATTCTCAGTTTATTAATATATCAAGTGCAAACTAATAAAATCTTGATTTTTTCAGGAAAGAAGAACAAAAGTATTTGTGAAAGGATATAAAACGTAACTGACAGATATTTCTACATTTACTTTTATCATTTTAAGACGAGTTTATCGAGAGAGACAGTGTCAAACAATGAAGAAATGGAATCCCATCAACTTACCGTTCATGTCAGATTCCAGTACACCTTGAAAAGTTGGCCCATAATCATAACCTCGTAGCCTAAGTTCGGTATAAATGTCTTTAGAGCTTAGTATAGCATCTTCGCTTTTAGGAGTAGGTAGAACAGTGTCAGTCATTTTCATAACTGGGTCATCAGGACAATAGACACGTCCACTTGCAGCTACAGCTCCACCTTCACAAATCTCAAATTCTCCCGTTATTTCCATGACGTTGACCAACAGCCTCACCACACCTAATGGAATAAGGAAACAAAAATAAAGAAATGAGAGAAAAAAAAAACAAACATGATGCCTAGTCTAATGTAGCTGTGATATACTTAAAGGATATTAACTATCACAGTATACAGTTATAAAAAAAAAGGCTTTTATTAAACCAAATGTTACTTTCAAGTAGTTTAGGAAGTTTGTTTCTTAACATAGCTAACCTCATTAACACATATATAACACACACATATACTTAATGAAGCTTACCATTTTTGGGTAGTATAGTTGCCCGGTGAAATGAAACATTTTCAAAAATAACTGGCATTTGCTCAAATGTCTGGCCTTTGACCCTTGCCAAAGCCTTCCATGCCAAAAGCATGTACCCGGTTGCTGGAAAGAGTACTCTGCCATCAATGCAATGTCCAATTAAGTACTGATCTGGAGAATCCAAAGCAGACAAATCAATTTCTACAATGGACTCTGATGAATGTCCTCCACTGAAGAACTGGTCCCATGTTGTTACAGTCCATGATTGAGAGTGGTCCCACTGAACTAATGGGGAAAGCATGGGAGTTCCTGGGGACACAGGAAAGCTAACAGTTGGGTAAAGGTTTTCTATGGCTGGGTTCAAACCACACATATACATCCTGATTTAAAAAAAAAAATCAGTTTTAAAAAACGAGTATCTGTGTGTGTCTATACACATAATACTGGCAAAAATATTGAAAATTTAACATCAATCTAAGTGAGAAGTTAAAAAACAACAACAAAAAACAAACTATAATTACTCTTTCTTTATAAGCACAGCATTCAAATACAATTACTTAAACTTTTACCACGTCAAAAAATGGCAAGGCAGGAACACTACATGATAGTAATTACTAATAGTAATAATTAAATTGCACCTCCACCCCCCCAATCATTTCTCAGAGAATCACAAAACTCTCACCTGGTCATAACACGAAACTAAATACTGAAGCAAGCAGAAACCATTAATTTTATTTATAAGCAATGTTAGGATATCAGGCAAAAAAAAATAAGCAAGGACACTAAAGTGATGATTCAATATGGAAAATTATTACAAGTTTTAACTTTCCAGTGTATCGATTTATACTGCTATACACTTTCAGTTAGTCTCCCCTATTTTTCATGTTTCATTTAAGTAATTTTTTTCCCCACCATTTTGTTAGAATGATTCCGATCCAAAGTTTCAATGCATATTATGCAAGATGATTTTACACAGATAAGGGCTGGTTGTACCACACATTGACCCCATGCCTAAAATTTTGGGAAAGATAAAGACCCACAATGCTGTACTCTCATGTGGGACAGCGGACATCATTTAGTGATCTCGAAATTTTTAGTGTCATAGGTAAACAAAAGTTAAATAAATACAAGTTATTTTGATACATGTTGAGATTCCTTATTCAGAGTAGTTGACTCTGTGTTCAGCAGTGTGCAACTCACTTTCCAATAGAAGATAAAAAAAATTCCATGTTGTTGTGGTGCTTCCTCTTCATCAGACCAATAAAGGAACATTCGGAACCAAGAGTCCTCTTAAGAATAGATTGCAACAGACAATGTGGAGCAATCTCAATTGTTACAGCATTGTGTGGAACATGCTGCAGGGCCTCGTGGAACAGTACAGGTGTCACCAAGTTGTTCATATGGTAGGCCACAGATGACAGCTGAGCTAAAGGCTCTTTCCATTTAGATTGGGGAATAGATGAGCTAATCCATCGTGAGCTGCGAGGTAGTGGGTTCTTGATGATCTATTAAAATGTTCATTTTCAATAAAATTATATATATTTTTTCTTCTATCTTTTAATAGCCAATGACTTCAGTGTAATCAAAGAATATTAAGATTACTGAGCACTCTTCAAAGACTACTTTTAATCCACTCTTTCTATCTTATACATTACTACCTAGTTTCATTTATCCAATAAAACAATTGTAAAAGCTCTGTGTGGACAAATGACACTTAGTAAACTTGGCAACTTTAACAGATATAAGAACTTACTTTTTCTAGAGCACGAGTTAGGGTTCCAGTAATAGCAACCATATAAGGGCTATGAAAAGCTATTCCTCCTGTAGCAACTTCTCGAGCAAAGATATTCTCAGCTTTCAACTCTTCAACAAATGCTGCCACTTTTTCAGCAGGACCAGAGATCGTAACAGTGTCCTCGGCATTGTGACAAGCTGGAATGACTCCTTCTGGACAACGACGTTTGGTTTCTTCCCATGTTAATCCTAGTCATTAAACAGGCAACAAATATTTTTAAAAACTTATAATGGACTGTGTGTATACACATATGTTATTACTTGTGTGATTAAAGCAAGTCTTAAAAAACAAGTTTCATATATATATATATATATATATATAGAATTCTTATCTTTGTCACTTTGCTATTTTTTGTTAAAACATCATTCATTTGAAAAACAAAACAAAAAAAATATGTTCCCATAAAACAGAAGGGTTGGTATCAAAATATATCTAACATAGTACATGTTGGAATTAAATCTAAGTTAACCATACTTTTATGGAAGTAGCTTTTCAAGTCTTCTTCACTGCAATACTGAGACAGAAATGTACACAACTAAAAATATCTATTTTCCTGTATGTATTACCATTATTTTATAATGAATAAGATCTCCACAAAGTGAACATTAAAAATAATAATAATAATAAAACTAATTATTATTTTTTAATATGTGTGCGATCAAAGTTTCACACTTACAAACTAGCCTGCCACAACATAACACAGTCTAAAAAAATTAAAACAAGACAACAATAAATATTTGAGAAAAAGTAAACATATTAGACAGAATCTAAAAGGAAATAAACTTAGAAAAGAAAGGGTCAACTCAATTTACCACCAGTGGTGTAATTTTTCTCACTTAGCTTTGTCCCATATTTTGACTTACTGTATCCATAAAGTAAATTTCTCGTTTTGTTTTTAATTATTCCTGAATTGCCTTTTGATCAGATTCTTGCACAACCCCATGCTTATGATTACATAAAAAATCCCAAGTTGTTTACAATAAAACAAACAAAAAGAAAACTGTAGTTAGTCGCAATCAATATTAGGCCCTTACCAACAGCAGCCATGCCTCCCTTTGGAAAATCAGCTTCTTCCACACAGCGTCCTCTCCAATATGCGGCCAATACAGTTTGTTCAGCTGTAAAACATCCATCAGCATATGCACACCCAAGTTCCCCCACTGAGTGACCCACAATTCCATCTGGCTCTATACCCAAGCTTCGTAAAACATCAATCAGTGCAACCTAAAGGAAACAATTCATTAGCACCAACCACTCCCCCTCATCAGAAGTAATACAACAGAGAACCTTTCGTTCTTAAAGAACAAATCTCCGAGTTAAGGTTATAATAACTACATACCAAGTTAATTAATATATTTATGTTATGAACTATCTTTACACTACCTAAATTTAGTACTTGCATTAAAGAATTTATGAAATAAAAATGTATTTCACATACTCTAATTTGGTGCTTAAATGATGCAAAAATAGGCAAAATTATTTGAAAATTTCTTTTACAATCAAAGTACAAAAGTGAAAGTCCAAGAGGAATTCAACAGGCTCATCAAAAACCATAGCATCAACTATTAAGCATGGTTAATTTAGAGTCATAAATTTATAATATTGTGATGTTGAATGTGTACAAGATCTTGAAAAGGCTATTTTTTTTTTGTTTCGATAATGGATTTACTTTCTCATGTAAAACCAGCGAGAATTATTCTCTAAGTAAAGTAATCATTACCATAAAGTAATTTAACTACAAATGAGTTAAAAAGTAGAACATTACTTAATGTCTTAAATTTATAAAATAAATTGTTTGGTTGTCACATTTACTGTGCATAATTCATGTTACAAAAATTTTCTAATACTGGTGCGGTGCAATTAATTCAATGACTAAAAATTTTTTAAAAAGCTAACATCATACATGAGCGTCCATGTTTGTGGTGTTAGCTCATCTTACAACTTAAACTTCACATTATACTTTAGAATCAGGTATAATAAATGGTGAAAACAGAAATGTCAACAAAGTAAAAAAAAATCAAATCCAAATATACAGTTAGATAAAATTATTTTTAATTTTGTACATTTATCCAACTTATGGGTAAATATGAGAAATCAATTGATTCCAATAGCTTAGTTGTGTTTATTGTACACATTCGATAAATGTTACACTTCAATTACTGCAACTTGTACTGGTGTCATTGTACTTCTTAATATATTCAATACATGTTGAACTTTAATCACTGAAACTCGTATTGGTTTTATGTTATGACCTGATGTCAGAATAATTGTATACTTCAATTTCTTTTTTGTATTAGCTTTTGGCATAACTTTTCTTAATACTGTCCTCCTCATACAATTTTCTAACACAATGTGTTTATCAGAAAGGTACCTGCACTGCAGCTATGGAAACAAATGATGCAACTGTGCCTTGAGGTGACTGATCAGTATCATCCGTTACAATTCTCAGCAGGTCAACCCCATATGGTGAAAGAATACCTGCAGTCTTGTGTAGAGAGTTGGCAAAAACCTCAATACTCATCATGTCACGACACATTCCAAGCCACTGAGTTCCCATTCCAGAACAGATGTACCATACGGGACGTTTTTCTCCTGGTGCTCTCTGAACACAATAATAAGATTATAAATATAAAAGAACAAAAAATCAACAACCATTCTTCAAAACAGATTTTTAATGCTTAAAGCTATACAAATAAATCAATGCAAAATCAAATGCAAAACAAACATATGAGAAAAAGTGCTTTGTTTTGAAATATAACTGAAGCCTTCCTCCCTTATTTTAATTAAGGTAAACAACAGATCTTGATATGTCAAAAAGTAGAAGTAAAACTTGTTTTCTTCAACAATACTGTTCTTTATTTTACATACTGTTATTACAACTAGCATATACTTTGTAAACATTGCCAATAAAACTTCTATTCCTGTTCATTAAATTCCTTAATAATAATAATGTTATATGTGTGTGTGTGAAAATAAAGATGTCACAAAAATGGCTTCTTTTTACCAGAAGTAACAGATTCAAAACAAAAGATAATACATAAAAAAAAAATGCTAGCTCTTCATCCATTTGGTAAAATGATCTCGGTTGTACAGATCGTAACTTATTACCTTATAAAAGAACAATCCAATTGCAGTGCAACATAACCATTACTGTTCACAAACTCCCATTACTTGTATATAATCTTTACTATGTTTGGTTGAGTGGTCTATCTAGACTCAATCTTGTTAGTAGTCATACAAATTATTTATCAGTAGTTGGTTGTTTGATGTGGTAGGTGTAAATACTTTATGCCCCCCAACCACCTGCTGTGACAATGTTTGCTGCCAAATCATGGTGATGTAATCTTACATATACGTATTTATGACAAACAAATAAGACTATTTGCAGTTATTCCTAATTTTAAACTGACCAGATGGAAGGTAGCCAGTCAGCAGCACCCTACCACCCATGCTAATGGATTGGCCATCACTCTTAACCCTACTGAGATGGGTCTTCCTATGGTCACAGGTCATGACATCTCATTTGTAAAGTTACATTGAAAATTTTATTAACCTACTATTTTATGAATGTATATCAGTAAGTTTGATATCAAATTGTAGATTTTTATTCAAACTTTAGTGTTATACATTAGCTTATACCTTAATTTAAAAGTACGTATTAAAAAAGCAAAAACCTAAATATTGATTTTTGTGTGTCACGTGGTATGTTGAATGCAGCATTAGTTCAGATTAGAAGTTTATGATATCCAAATACAAAAATCTATAATTTCTTACAAATTAGGAACTCAAGTTACCGATATTGACAAGCTAGAATATAAAGTAAGAACCTCCTATATTTTCTATTTGCTGAGATATAGATAGATTTAGTGAATCAAACACAGTGGTCTTCACCCACCTCTTTTCCATTGTTGGAAACACATAAGTATACCTACTTCTGTCTATGACGTGTGAATACTCAATCGAAAGCTCAGAATGTCCCCCACATGGTTTCCGAACCTTTGAAAAGTATTTATGCAGAAAACCCTTTCTTTTCATAGCAGTTTCCAAGTGGTAAGTAAAGTAAGACATTATTAAGCTCTAAAAATCATATATTTTAGACCCAAATACAACTTAGCTATTAAGCCTGATAAATTATAGTGGATTTCTGTTGTGGTATTTATAGTGATTTATGATTTTTTTTATTTCAAAATGCATATATAAAACTAGCAAAAATTGTTTTGTTTTACATTCTCCATGCGAGAAATTTGATAAGGCTTAGCAAATTAGGGCAAGCCACAAAGTAGTACAAAGTCCATAACTAGAAAATATAATTGTTCTCTACATTTCTTTATTTACTGTTCTAGGTTTTAAGAAAAATAACTGAAATTTTAGAACTTGTTTGTAAATAGTAGTAATGCATATGCATATATATAATGTTTTATAACCAAAACACGACTATTTTATGAAATACTGGTCCACTATAACACAGCCTAGAATGAAAGAAGCTTAATTTATATCTATTTGTTTTTCTTCTTTTTTTTTTCATGGTGGTTAGAATTGACCAAACCCATACAAAGATACAATAGTAGTATGTGAAATTTGACAGCGTTCTGATGCATAAAAGTATTTTTAATCTTAAAATCAAAATTAATTTGCATGTTGGATAGTCAATATTCGAAAATAAAAAATGAATGAGCAAATAATTAATTTAAAAATTCTGATACTTTGTGCACGAATGCCTTCTAATGTTTACTGATAACCTGCAAATTTTCATGAAGATACACCTACTGTATTAAAAAGTTACAGTATAACTACTTTATGGTTACTTTGGGGAATACAAGCTGGGTGGAATTCCCCCCAGCTGTGCAGAAAGGTTAAAAAGTGTAGGGAATATTTTGTGTATCGTACAGATTCCAAACCAGTTCAAATCCAGAGCTCTACCACAGAGTTAAGCCACATCCAGTAAATGAAAGCCATGGGTTTTATACTTGGAAGGAAGTCATAACAAAGTTTATTAAAAACCCTTAAAATATTGTGAGCTAGTATTGGTGATGGTATGTGAAAGGAAAATATTCTTTAGTGAATTTCTTGCTGCTGAGCATATTGGTGCCCTTCCTTTCATGGGCTGGATGTGAATGATTAAATAGAAACTTTCTTACCAGAAATATGGGCTAAGAAAATGACACTACAGGACTCATTAATTGTTCACATAAATCTATGAATGTGTGGTTGTACACTTTGTACTTCTAAATTATAAAACTTCAACTCAACACTTTAATTTTTTTGTAATCCAGTTAAAAAAAGAGAATGTGTTTAGTATATTGTAAGAAATTGTTAGAGAACAGTTTACTTAGTGAAAAAGGAATGTATTAATTTTGTTTTTGTCCAAGTAAGTTCATTTAACACTGTTGAAAATTGTAGAGTACTGTTTATAGACCCGATACAACACAAGACTCGAGTGCAGCAAGGTAATTTAATCAATTATATTGATTAGTATCATGTAAAGTAATAGAAATTACAATTGATTAATCAAAATTACTGTTTGTAATTATCAATATCTGAGGAACTGTATTAATCAAATGTAATCAATTAAAAAATACCATAAATCACTCAACTCTACTTATAGGCATCTATACTTCTTCCTAAATGGGCTACTAAACTTTATAAAAAGAAAACAGTACATTTTTGTAAAAAAACAAACTATAATTGTGGTGCACAAAAGAAACCTGTAATGTGACTAACTTGTGTTATTAAATGTTTTTGTAACTGTTCTATCATTCTAGATCACAAAGATAGTTAAACTATTAATTATTTACTAAACTATAAATTACTTGAACCTAAGCCTAAGTTATCTCTAGTAACTTAGAAGACTACGTGATTAGATACCTTAAGGGGTGGTGCAGATTATCACAAAAGGCAGTTGAATGTAAGGGGGTGATTACACATTTCCCATAAACATTCCAAAAATAGGATTTGTATTTCAAGAGGAAAAAGAAAAATTAAATAGTACATTTTAAATGGTCAAATCTAATAGGGGAACTACTGTAAAGTCAAAACTATTTATAACATTCTTTTGGACAGCAAGTTAGCTTTTCTGAACCATTCTTGGCTACTTAAATTGCAATGTATAAACATTTTAAGCATTTAACATTTAGTATTATAATGTTGTAATCTTACACTTCAAGTTTAAAAGTTGATTGGTTCTTTATAATGTAAACAAAATGCAGTAATTTTGTTACTAAGATGAGAACTAATAATTTATAATTAATATAATTTTAAGTAACATTTTAGGTAAAGGTACTCAAGGACTATCTACAACTAGTCATCCCTAACTTAAGTGATAGAATAGAGTAAGACAGCTAGTTACTACCACCCACTAGTCATCCCTAACTTGAGTGATAGAATAGAGTAAGACAGCTAGTTACTACCACCCACTATTCATCCCTAACTTAAGTGATAGAATAGAGTAAGACAGCTAGTTACGACCACCCACTAGTCATCCCTAACTTAAGTGATAGAATAGAGTAAGACAGCTAGTTACTACCACCCACCAGTCATCCCTAACTTGAGTGATAGAATAGAGTAAGACAGCTAGTTACTACCACCCACCAGTCATCCCTAACTTGAGTGATAGAATAGAGTAAGACAGCTAGTTAATACCACCCACTAGTCATCCCTAACTTAAGTGATAGAATAGAGAAAGACAGCTAGTTACTACCACCCACCAGTCATCCCTAACTTAAGTGATAGAATATAGTTAGACAACTAGTTAATACCACCCACTAGTCATCCCTAACTTAAGTGACAGAATAGAGTAAGACAGCTAGTTACTACCACCCACCAGTCATCCCTAACTTAAGTGATAGAATAGAGTAAGGCAACTAGTTAATACCACCCACTAGTCATCCCTAACTTGAGTGATAGAATATAGTTAGGCAACAAGTCAATACCACCCACTAGTCATCCCTAACTATCTGCTCCAAACCACCAGTGTAAATATAAAAACAAAGGCAGAACACCATAAAAAGTAAAACCAAATCAAGTTAAAAACTAAACAACGTCCAAAAGGCTGGTTAAAAACATGATCAAGTTGGACAATGTCACCATCACCAACGACACCTTCTAATATCAGGGTTGAATCCTCAGATAATACATGTCTAAAATAGCTCACACTTGTAACGACGGCATGAAAATAAAAGGTGGGCAATTGTCACTTGAGTGTCACAAAGGTCACACATTGGCGGATTAGTCCAACATAAAAGAAAACGAGTTAAAAACTGTGACCAATGCTTAGCCTAGATAAGACAACTTCCTCCCTTCGGGCCTTATGGAAACTAGATGGCCAAGCAACAACAGCAAGTTTAAGCTGGAAAAGCTCGTTACGAAGCTGCTCTCCCCAAATTGCCTGCCAACTGGCACAAAGCCATGCCTTGATCACAGGGCCAAAAGTATGATTAATAGAACCTCGATAACTAACATCTGTAGTTTTATTTTAAAAAATAAGTGACTGCACTAAAATAGGATTTAAGTAAAACCAGCCAAACTTCAATGTCAGATCTCTTGACTGTTTTGGAAATAGCTATTTTTAATGTATATTTTATGAGTGTCATATATTTATATGACTCAAAACAGTCTCCTTACAACAGGTAAGTGCAAGTTCTGTAGTTATCTTACATCATCATCAACACATAGTTACTTGTTTCAATTTTTATTCATCTCTAATTTTTTAAAAATTTAGAATTTAAATACGACTGCCCAAAATATAAAAAGGACAAACTACCAGTTCTTTTTAATTACTTACAATACACTGACTTTGATGAAAATAGATGATACTTACTTCCACCATCCTTACTTCATCTCTACCATCGGTGCCAGGAATCATGAATCCTCTATAAGGCATGGCCGTAGGAGGTGCCCTTCCAATTTCAGTCAAAAGAGCAAATGTTTCCAATGAAACATCTTCTTGAAGTTGGTTGAACACAATATTCACAGATTCTTCTGTTCTACCACAAAATGTTACCAAGTAAGGAATGGTTTCCTTACTTTTAGAGTTTTCTATTGCCAAATTACTTGGTGGGCGATAAGGCTCTAACACAGCATGGACATTTGCTCCTCCAAATCCAAAAGAGTTGATAGCAATTAATCCCTTAGGTAAAGTCAGATTATCATCAACAACTTTTAATCTTCCATCAACAAGGGCAGGAATGTTAGGATTAGGTGAAAAAAAATGCAAGTTTGCAGGGATTTTTCCAGTTTCCATTGCAACAAGTACTTTTGCTACTGAGCACAAACCTAAAGAAAAAAAAAATTAACATGTCTCGCAAGAGAACACACGCATGTCAGCATCATACCCGTTTTAAAGAAGAAGCATTTACACAAAATCAAAGTAGCCCTTATGGATTTTGGAAGTTCTTTTGCTGTAATTTAATAGTTATACAAACTATGGAGAAAAAAAAAATGCTAGAAACTCAAATACTAATGCTACCTAATTGTCAGAATTAACTTAGTAAAGGTTTTAAAATGATGGAAAATAATTAAAACAAAAGATTCAAATACAGTACTATGTGATTGTGGTATACCAATATATCACGTGCTTCTATCTTCTTACAGTATTTATTCTGAATATATTCTCTGTTCTAAATATACACAATTTTCACATAACACGTGGTCAAGAAAAATATTCATCTTGTTTTGAGGTACCTTTGTTACTCCAGAAGTAGATAACACTTATTACCACCCTTGGAGGGCACTGCTTAATGCAACCTTCTGTAAGTATATTGATAGCAGTGTCCCTTAACAGTTGTATAGGTGATATCTAGAGGTTATAGACTCATCTATGTGTAATATGAATGACCAGTCACGTGGTAATACAAGCTCAACAAACGAGAGGTTTCTTTGAAGAATCTAAGAAACCTTGAGTTTAGTAGCATGGTCTGGAAAGTCATCGAATATAGTCTTTAGCTTGATTGTCAGTAGTCAGTCCAGTGATCCCGTGAAAGCAACAGTGCAACATAAGTAAACTGCCACTGCACACACTTTTTGTTCAGGGTATAATAAAGATCGTTTATTTTGCATATCACTTTTTGTCCAGTCTGATTAATTCATTAAAATCAACTCGGAAAGATTTAGTACTACTCCATAATTACCATCTTGAGCTAATCTCCTATTATTCAACATACCTATCCAGTGAAGCTCATACCTACATATTCAGTTCACCCAAATATACCACAGACAGGATAGGTTAGGAGAAATTTTAGGATTATGAGAGCTTAGTAATGAAGGTTTGAAAATATTGGAATCATTTCCATTTTATTTTATTTTACTTTATAAACATTACTATTCCAAGTTAATACTGTGCAAATTTAATTTTTTCAATATATTTTCTTACCCTGAATTTAAACCAGAAACCTGCCACATCAGTAGAGTGCTCTACCAACTGAGTCAACAGGCTAACTCACTAACTTCCTAATAAGTCCCTTTTTTTTAATGACTCAAACTACCACAGTACCACAAATAGATTAACAATAGTTACAAGTCACGATACAAGCTCATTAAACATAGAAAGCATGTCATGCAATAAATTTTTAAAAACAAAACAATATACATAAGACTGCTCCATATGGTTAAAGTATTTCCTTTAAAATGTATGAAAGCTAGTTATGAAACACATTAACAAAATCATAGAGAATGAAATACCAGGAAGAAACTTCAAGTGTATTAAAGTAATAGTAGCATATTATAATTTTACCTGAAGCTGGCTCTGAATGGCCCATATTCGACTTCACAGAGCCTATCAACAAAGGATTATCCCTATCTTTACACAGAACGTCAGCTATGGCTCCTAATTCTTGGGGATCACCAACTTTTGTTCCTGTACCATGAGCTTCCACATAGACAACATCATTTGCACTTAAACCAGCTTCTGTGTAAACCTCGTTTAAAAGTTCTTGTTGCACATGACCAGCTGGAAATGTCACTCCTAAAGAAGGAAGATCAAACACGTTTAAAAATATAAGTTTTATTTTTAAAGTTGTTGAACCGTAATGACTAATTTTGTAGTTTTTATAATTTAAGTCTTAGAAAAACTTTAAAATGTTAACTAGAGAACACTTTCAAATGCAAAAGCAATACATTAATGTTCTACTTTTACCATTTTCCATAGGAAGAAATAATTTCAAAATGCTAAATAATTTCTTTGTGTGTCAAAAAATATAACATTTGTTCATATTAAATTATAATTTTTGCACCTTTCTTAAAGATTTTTCTAATGATATTGATATGGTAATTACAGAAAAATAAGCTAACCTTGCTCTTTAAATCCATCGGTATTAGTTTTAACATGAACTACCGTGGCATATATTCTTCTGGCCTCAGAGGCACGCTGAAGAAATACAACCGAGGCTGCTTCACTTCGTACATAGCCATTGCCTGAAAAGTAAAATACATGTTTTAGGAACTAAATCTTCAAGTCTTCACAGTTCAAGATGTAATAACTTTTCATAAAAAACGTTGTCATCTACTTACACATTTATTTCTGAGCAAGTTCTAAAAACAGATTTGTAAGCAATCTGAAATCCAGTGTTTAGAATTATTTGTTTTATTACAGCATTCCTTCATAAAAAAGGGACAGTAAGATAATTCTTCTTATAAAAGTTAGCCTGATAGTCCTTTTGTGATGCTTCTTACATTATTCTATTATTCCTTTAAATGATCTATTTTTGCTTACTTAATGGGCTGACTTAACATCTCATAAATTATTTCATCAGCACCACACTGCTCATTTATTGAGACAAACATTAAATGGCTACGATTACCCGAACTTCCAACATAAATCTTGACAAAGAATTGAACGTTTACTTAAGTGTAGTTGTACATTTTACAAATTCAAATCTTCACCTCTATAAAGTTCACCTGCAGTGTAATTTTTAAGACTAATTTGGTTTTGTTTCAGATATTTGTGCAAAGCTACACAAGAACCATCAGTGCTAGCTGTCCCTAACTCAGAACTGAAAGAGGGAAGAAAGGAAGGTTACCAGCAGTATCCACTACCAACATTGAAGCTACTCTAATCAAATAGTGGGAGTCGGCCATCACTCTTACAATGCACCCAGGCCCCAAATTGCAGAGATTGGTTGTTTTACTGTGACCGTGGGACATGAACCATGGACCCTTATCTTCATAGTTTTGAAGAGTTAACCACTATCCAAGTCTATATAGTTTGAGGGTTAATTTTTTGTTGTTGAAAAATTCTTACCAGATGCATCAAATGCTTTACATTTTCCATCAACAGAAAGCATTCCAAGGCGATGAAATTGAAGAGAACTAGTTGGTTTCAAACACAGGTTGACACCTCCAACTATTGCTGCCTCACACTGACTAGTTCGGAGAGCAATTACAGCCTGATCCAGAGCAAGCAAACTGGACGAACATGCTGTATCAAGTGCAAAACTGGGGCCTAATGCAAGACATTTCAAAAAGAATATAAAACATTTTTTGCATAGCTATAATAGAAAACAAAGAAACACTGCTTTATATATTACTGTATTAATAGCATCATAAAGCAATCCACAGTGATTCAATCTAATTTGTACATCATATACTTCAAAACTCTTGATGTAAAGAAAACCAACAACACTCAATGATAAGCTAGCTATCCGCGATCCGTTGTTCTCTTAATTAAAACATTAACACCTTTCATTAAAGAATGAAATTAACAGTCAGATAAAAAAGAAACTGAAATAACAGACAGGATGAAAATTTAATGATTATTTTTCAACCATTTACAGATAAAATTTAACCCTTTTTTTTTTTTAAAGTAGACAGTAACTTTTTTTTCTAGTACTCTGACTGATATGATACTTTAAAGACTTAATAAATGACCTGACCTTTAAAGTCAAAAGTGTAAGAAATTCTGTTTGCAAACATGGAACGGCAACAACCAGTTAGCCCATAACCATTGATCTTCTCAGGGTCTTTGCCCAGTGCCTCATCAGTCTCTGAAGCACTACAGCCAATGAAAACACCAGTTCTTCTTCCTCGCAGGCTGTGAGGGTCGTAGCCTATAAATAATGTCTTTCGGCTTTAAAACTATCTGCGACATGACCAATCAAAACTATTGACGACATTCACACACCCTCCCAAAATAACAAAAAATAAAGGCATTCTATAGGTCTCCCAAAAAACTGGTTAAGAAATTTGTGTTTAGGTTCAGTTATGATGTTTCTTTAACTATCTATTGAAAGACTTACTGAATAATGACTAAGGTAACTGTATATTTAAACTACACATGTTCTAGGGTCCTACATGCTTGAAAGAGGAATGGTAATGTTTGTGTATTTTTTAATGTTATCTGTATCACTATGGTTATTTTCCTTAAACAAAAACTTGCAGTCATATTTCATTATCAAATGATCTTTCTAGTACATTTAAATATATAATATGTATATAATGTATGTACAGTTATCATAAACAAATAGTATAAGTTGTACAGGTATTTTAAGACCTCTTATCTCTGGTAAACACTATGAAGTCACTGGATAAGTAAGTATCATGTAAACTTCAGGATACAGGAAGTATTGCTTAATTTACATTTAGTACATAAATTGTGAGTCTAGTGAATCATTCATCTACCCCTTTTAAAAGTGGATGAATTTCACAGCATCAGACAGAAATTCAGAAAAACAAGTTATGGTAAGATGTGTATTATATGCACCAGAAAACATTTTAGGATATTTTAACTAGTACCTTTTGCAAATTATAAGGAGTTAAGGAAACTATGATGTTTCTCACCTGCATCAACTATTGCTTCATATGTTAACTCAAGAAGAATTCTAAGTTGAGGATCCATAGCGTGAGCTTGTTTGGGATGAACTCCAAAAAACGTGGCATCAAACTTGCTGAGATCCTTTAATTTACCACAACGTGTAGGTAAGCCATACAAACCTGAAGAAATTATATAATTAAAATAGGCCATAATTTTTTTTTTTTTTAAACAGATTACATTTAAAGCAAGAATAGATTGGATTTTACACAGCATTACCAACAAAACTTGATCATATATAATTAGATTAATTTTTTAAAGGAAAACATAAATGAAAAGAATATATATACTAGAAAAAGATTAAAAATGCAGCCATAAAAGAAATATCCAACACTGGGACATAAATTACAGGGTGTGTCATTATGTAATGTGCCATAGTTTTTTTGAGGAGCCAGCAGAAGTAAGATCCAAATTGTATTGGGGATAACCCATCTATTCAGTTTAACCTCAATTTCATCAGCCCCACATACTTTTACTGTCTGCAGCCAGATGTGGGTGATCTAGCCCACAACGTCCCACATCTTTATCACCTTTCTCTGTCTGCAGCCAGATGCGAGTGCTCTAGCCCACAACACCCCAATCTTTATCACCTTTCGCTGTCTGCAGCCATAAGTGGGAAGATGGTTGCTCAAAAAATACTACTAATACAAGTAGAAAAATAGAAAGAAAACAGTACAAAATATAATAATTACAGTACCATACATCAATAGGGTAGACAGTAAAACTGTCCTTGTAGTTAGTATTCCAGCCCCCATTATGATATTTGGACATAAATAGTTCCGCAGTACCTCAAAAAAAACCACGGCACATTACATAATGACCCACCTTATGATTTGTGACTTGGTGTTGGATATCAGTTTTGTGGCTAAGTTTAAATTTTATTTAAGTATATTGTTTCACTTATTTATTCCTTCCCTAGAAAATTAAATCTTTCTCTGTGTGTGTGTGTGTGTGTGTGTGTGAACACACAAGCTGGAGTACCTGTCCCCTGGATGGAAGTTATGTCATGGTTAATGAAAAGTTGCTTCCCTTATATGTAATTGTAAAAAAATGCCCATAAAAACTGAAAAACACAAAAATTATGAAACCACAAATTTGCTTGTATCTCTGCATGGACCCAACAAACCTTCATGCGAAATTTGGTGAAGATCCATCTACAGGAGGTGAATTAGTGGCAAAAACCGCAAAATTGAAACTTTGAATGTACCTCTGCCAAGACCAAATGAACCCACACACCAATTTTGGTGAAGATCCATCTACAGGGGTCGAAGTAGTGGTAAAAATAGTAAAAACAGCCATAAAAACTGCAAAGCTGAAAATTTGTATGTGGCCCCCCACATGGACCTACACACCAATTTTGGTGAAGATCCATCTACAGGGGTTGAAGTAGTGATAAAAATAGTAAAAACAGCCATAAAAACTGCAAAACTGAAAATTTGTATGTGGCCCCCCCACATGGACCTACATACCAATTTTGGTGAAGATTCATCTACAGGGGTCGAAGTAGTGGTAGAAATAGCAAAAACAGCCATAAAAACTGTAAAACTGAAAATTTGTATGTGGCCCCCCACATGGACCTACATACCAATTTTGGTGAAGTTCCATCCTCACCCTGTAAAGTAGTTACATGGGCATGATATAGATATAGAACATAAAATAATCATTAAGAGTTCAAACTTATCTTGTACACAGAGTATAAGATGTCTAAGTTTTACATAACAGGGTACTTTAGTTAATTATTTAATCATTAATAGTGTTACAAGCTATAAATAATAAACTAAAACACTAACAGGGATATGGTTAATAACATTAATACAAATTACAAATGTTTAACCTAATCCCATTTTGGTTTTACTGTTGAGTTTATACTGGGATATCTCCCCATTTCATCAATTATAGATAACTTAGTTGTTCATTCACAGCAAAGAGATGGCGCCACCTACCAACTAATAAATATTTCAATATTATTAATACCATACACGCGTATAAAAAATTTTCTATTTTTAGGCCTGAGAGTTTGCTCTATAAAACCTACGAACATTAGCATTTTTTAAGTGTCTCCCAGGTACAGTCACCAAAAATTTATGTTTGTGGAGATTTTTTGGACAACGGTTTGTTTGTCAACTTAGTAGAAATCAGCCAAATGATTTTACGAGTTAACAATGGTTTGGGGCTGCGAAATAATTTGATTATTTCGACGTGCGTTTAGAGTGCACTCCGTTTTATGATTAACTCAAAAAAAAAAAAAGGTTTCTCTTCTTCACCAAAACGTGAATTTCATTCAGTGAGGAAAAGATGACGTAGAGGTATAACCCAATCCTTGATTATTAACAGTGAGTAAAGAATTATACATAACCAAATAAAAAGTTGTCTAACCCTGTAGCATGAAACCATCACCGCAATATTTTAAGTACCTAAAAAATTTCCACAGCATTTGGCATCAAACACTGAGAATACACAAGTGTGGTTTTCTACCTAGTTAAAAGATCTTTTCCATACGCAGCAAACTAAACAAACAATATAACGTTCACTGTTAAATAAATAAGCACTAGAGTACAGAGATAACGTTTGTAGTTACTGTATAACAGTTTTTTTTAAAGGATCACAATACAGGAAACATTAATTACTACACTTCCTGTTACAATATTTACAGTGAACGACCAATCTGAATATGTTTGGGCCATATAAGAAATTTATTATTATGTTTAAAAAAATGCCAAGAAACATTTGATCGTAAATACACAATGAAACCTCATATCTTGTACATGTTTGAATAACACCTCATTAGCGGCGAAAATTTTCAAACAATATACGAGAATGGAAGACAATATGTCATACAGCATTGGTGGAAACATCTTTGTCACAGTTAGGCAAACAGACTTTCGTATTTGTGTGTTGTTTTTTTTTTTTTTATGACATCAAATTAACAAATACATTTATTACTACATGAAATACGTGTCAAAAAGTTTGAATATTTGGCTCGATTCCATTATCCTCCATGATATAATCTTTGTTTATGCAATAAACGTGGAGAACAAATGGAAGCACGGTTTATTAGCACACGAAAATTTAAATTTTACAAACTAAAATTAACACAACTGAATGCTCGCACGGTTTATTAGCACACGAAGATTTATATTTTACAAAATAATATTAATACAACTGAATGCTCGCACGGTTTATTAGCACACACAGATTTATATTTTACAAAATAATATTAATACAACTGAATGCTCGCACGGTTTATTAGCACACGAAAATTTAAATTTTACAAAATAATATTAATACAACTGAATGCTCGCACGGTTTATTAGCACACGAAGATTTATATATTTTACAAAATAATATAAATACAACTGAATGCTCGCACGGTTTATTAGCACACGAAAATTTATATTTTACAAAATAAAATTAATACAACAGAATGCTCGCTACTCTTGTGTATGTGCTAATGTTTATTTGTTTGAAGTTAAGTACAAAGCTACACAATGGAATATCTGGGCTCTGTTTACTACGAGTATCGAAACCGGTTTGTAGCGTTGCAGGTCCGCAGATACCGCCGTGTCACTAATGTTAAGGAAAAGGCGTGATTCTCGCAACTTCTTCAGACCAGTCAGCCAACGTTGGAACTGTTAGGTTGCATTACTAATGAAATAATTTTACACACACAGCGTTGTTTCGAAAAATACGAAATGAAGAGTAAAAGAAAACCGTTTCTTCTGGTTACAGGACCATCATTATAATCAATTGTCTTTCTATGAAAGACTTCACAGTCATTAGATGTGAAGAAGCACGTGTAGTCGTAGTAACAACTTAAGCTTAGAATTTAAGCGGAACTAAACTATGGTGGCCGGATGACATTGATTCTCGGGGGCATTACTCCTATTACAGAGGAATGTCCTCGATTTGGCAAAATTCGAGTGCGAACCATCTTGAGTGTTTAAAAAGACAAAAATGCACGTTTTGCTAACATCTGTCATTATTCTAATTAAAGCTAAACTATACTTTTATCCCTTCTTGGCTTTTTTTTCTTATTCAAGATAGTAGTTTCACATTATTTTGTAGTGACTCTGTAACAAAACCCAGTGTGGCTTTCACTCCAAAATAGTT